AGCACAGAAGCCTTCCAGCAACTGGCATAACAGGTACGCCTTAACCCGCTCCACCACCTGCTCAGACCCTTAAAAGAGATGGTAATTTCGGAGTATTTAAATACCCCAAAGATCAACACTTCCCAAGAGCACTAGAGCAAGTGAGGGGTCATTTATACGTTTATTTCATCAAGTCCCTGTCTTTGGGGTATTTAAATACTCCGAAATTACCATCTCTTTTAAGGGTCTGAGCAGGTGGTGGAGCGGGTTAAGGCGTACCTGTTATGCCAGTTGCTGGAAGGCTTCTGTGCTGGCTAGGGTTCGAGTCTCCTGGTGGGAAAGTGTTCTAAAGTTGTATACTTCACTCTCGTGTTTAGGAGAGTTGTGCCTTAAGCATAGACACTGTGTCTTCCCATATTAACAGGGACTTGATGAAATAAACGTATAAATCCTCACTTGCTCTAGTGCTCTTGGGAGGTGTTGATCTTTGGGGTATTTAAATACTCCGAAATTACCATCTCTTTTAAGGGTCTGAGCAGGTGGTGGAGCGGGTTAAGGCGTACCTGTTATGCCAGTTGCTGGAAGGCTTCTGTGCTGGCTAGGGTTCGAGTCTCCTGGTGGGAAAGTGTTCTAAAGTTGTATACTTCACTCTCGTGTTTAGGAGAGTTGTGCCTTAAGCATAGACACTGTGTCTTCCCATATTAACAGGGACTTGATGAAATAAACGTATAAATGACCCCTCACTTGCTCTAGTGCTCTTGGGAGGTGTTGATCTTTGGGGTATTTAAATACTCTGAAATTACCATCTCTTTTAAGGGTCGGAGCAGGTGGTGGAGCAGGTTTAGGCGTACCTGTTATGCCAGTTGCTGGAAGGCTTCTGTGCTGGCTAGGGTTCGAGTCTCCTGGTGGGAAAGTGTTCTAAAGTTGTATACTTCACTCTCGTGTTTAGGAGAGTTGTGCCTTAAGCATAGACACTGTGTCTTCCCATATTAACAGGGACTTGATGAAATAAACGTATAAATGACCCCTCACTTGCTCTAGTGCTCTTGGGAGGTGTTGATCTTTGGGGTATTTAAATACTCCGAAATTACCATCTCTTTTAAGGGTCTGAGCAGGTGGTGGAGCGGGTTAAGGCGTACCTGTTATGCCAGTTGCTGGAAGGCTTCTGTGCTGGCTAGGGTTCGAGTCTCCTGGTGGGAAAGTGTTCTAAAGTTGTATACTTCACTCTCGTGTTTAGGAGAGTTGTGCCTTAAGCATAGACACTGTGTCTTCCCATATTAACAGGGACTTGATGAAATAAACGTATAATGACCCCTCACTTGCTCTAGTGCTCTTGGGAGGTGTTGATCTTTGGGGTATTTAAATACTCCGAAATTACCATCTCTTTTAAGGGTCTGAGCAGGTGGTGGAGCGGGTTAAGGCGTACCTGTTATGCCAGTTGCTGGAAGGCTTCTGTGCTGGCTAGGGTTCGAGTCTCCTGGTGGGAAAGTGTTCTAAAGTTTTATACTTCACTCTCGTGTTTAGGAGAGTTGTGCCTTAAGCATAGACACTGTGTCTTCCCATATTAACAGGGACTTGATGAAATAAACGTATAAATGACCCCTCACTTGCTCTAGTGCTCTTGGGAGGTGTTGATCTTGGAGGTATTTAAATACTCCGAAATTACCATCTCTTTTAAGGGTCTGAGCAGGTGGTGGAGCGGGTTAAGGCGTACCTGTTATGCCAGTTGCTGGAAGGCTTCTGTGCTGGCTTGGGTTCGAGTCTCCTGGTGGGAAAGTGTTCTAAAGTTGTATACTTCACTCTCGTGTTTAGGAGAGTTGTGCCTTATATATATATATATATATATATATATATATATATATATATATATATATATATATATATATATATATATATATATATATATATATATATATATATATTATTAAATATGACCGAAAAAGTAAGATTAATAATTCTAACACGAATTTTCTCAATCTTTCGTACATTATGCTTCACTGTTGGAGGTAAATCAAAAATCACTTCTCCAAAATTCATTTTTATTTCTAGTCTGACGCGACACGGGCACGTTTCGTAAAACTTATTACATTTTCAAAGACTTCACAAATACACAACTGATTAGAACTTGCGTTTCCCTGATTTTATATCTACGTTTGAGTGAGGTGGGAAGGGTGATGTGGCATTACATTTGAGTGAGGTGGGAAGGATGATGTGGCATTAACACAAGACAGAACACTAGAGGATATTAATAGGGTATTAAAAGTATCAACACAAGACAGAACAGAAACAATGGGTATTGAATAGAAGTGTTTGTAGAAAGCCTATTGGTCCATATTTCTTGATGCTTCTATATTGGAGCAGATGGGCACATGTATAAGCAAGTAGATGGGGTCGCCATGGGTTCTCCCCTAGGTGTCCTGTTTGCAAACTTCTACATGGGTACCATCGAGCAAAAAGTCTTAGTCGACATGAACTTGAAACCGGCCATATACTGCAGGTATGTTGACGACATTTTTACACAGGTACCTGATGTCAGACATCTGCAGGAGCTGAAGGAGGCATTTGAGCAGAGTTCCGTGCTGCGTTTCACTTACGAGACGGAAAAGGATGGGAAGCTGCCTTTTCTAGATGTAACAGTCATGGAAAAGGGCGGAGGTTTCCACACTGCAGTCTACACAAAGGAAACAAACATAGGAATGTGCCTAAATGCCAACAGCGACTGCCCTGACAGGTACAAGAGGAGTGTTGTTAACGCATACGTCGACCGTGCTCTCAGCCACAGCTCAGAATGGAAGCAAGTCGACGAAGAACTCTGTAGGGTAAGGCAGGTTCTAGTCAATAACGGCTTCTCCAATGGTTTCATCGAAGACATCATAAGAAGGAAAGTGAAAAGCCATGCAACCTCCGAAGAGACAACTAACACAACACCTATACCCCCTATTAGACTATTTTACAGGAACTTCTTTTCCACAGCTCATAAAACAGAGGAAAGGGTCCTGAAAGATATTGTTAATAGAAACGTTATCCCTACAGACAAAAATCAGAGGATACAACTGACGATTTACTATAAAACCAGAAAAACGGCCAGCCTACTCATGAGAAACTCTCCAGACACGAAACAGAACGCTTTAAAAGAGACTAACGTCGTCTATGCCTTCAAATGCCCACTTGGGGACTGTAAGCTCCAAAAAACCCAGTATATAGGCAAGACAACAACATCTCTTTCTAGGCGTTTAACGATGCATAAACAACAGGGCTCCATTAAGGAACATATAATCTCTTCCCATAACCAAACCATCGCCAGAGAAATCCTAGTAAACAACACAGAAATCATCGATAGATACAGCGATAGCAGGCGGCTTGACGTTTGCGAGGCACTACACATCAAGAAGTCAACACCAGCAATCAACAGCCAATTATTGCACAACTATATTCTACCCACCTCAAGACTCCGCTCCAATATAGAAGCATCAAGAAATATGGACCAATAGGCTTTCTACAAACACTTCTATTCAATACCCATTGTTTCTGTTCTGTCTTGTGTTGATACTTTTAATACCCTATTAATATCCTCTAGTGTTCTGTCTTGTGTTAATGCCACATCATCCTTCCCACCTCACTCAAATGTAATGCCACATCACCCTTCCCACCTCACTCAAACGTAGATATAAAATCAGGGAAACGCAAGTTCTAATCAGTTGTGTATTGTGAAGTCTTTGAAAATGTAATAAGTTTTACGAAACGCGCCCGTGTCGCGTCAGACTAGAAATAAAAATGAATTTTGGAGAAGTGATTTTTGATTTACCTCCAACAGTGAAGCATAATGTACGAAAGATTGAGAAAATTCGTGTTAGAATTATTAATCTTACTTTTTCGGTCATATTTAATAATATATGTCTACAGGAAAGACTGCTACCAAAATATACTAATATATATATATATATATATATATATATATATATATATATATATATATATATATATATATATATATATATATATTTATATATATATATACATATATATATATATATATATATATATATATATATATATATATATATATATATATATATATATATATATATATAATATACATATACATATATATAATATTTAAATAACAATGATAAGAAAAAAGTGTAAAAAATTCAGAAATTAATGCACATATCTACCATATCAGCATCATGACCGCGCAGCACATCGATAAATAAAAAGACGTAAAAGCTATATTTCACTAGCCATTGAAATTTAATCAGCAAGTATAGATGCTGAGGAACCTCAGGAAACCAAACATTGGAGAAAAAATATATGAACCTTTTGTCTTTAGTGAATAGAGAGAAGTCATTCAACTTCACTTATGCACTCCCATCTGGAATAACGTATCCATGCATAGAGACCTCACCTTCAAAAATACATTGTTTTGGAGTAAATGATAGCCTCAAGCCTATCACCATTACAAACCAGACACAACAGGGCTGATTCCATCGAGACTATAAATTAAATAAATAAAAAAAAATTAGTTATATGAATTCAGTCCCCAATTTAAAGGTCAACCAACGTTCATAGGTCTCTGTTGAGGCAACTAGAGATATTTTCCTGCAAGCCATTTCTAGTATACATCCCATTATACTCTCTTAGCTCTTACCCTGTTACAGTAAATCTACCATCGTCCCTTATCTATAGTGCACAGCTGCCAGCCCTCACCATCACCGTACCCCCATCACCGTACCCCCCATCACCGTACCCCCCATCACCGTACTCACTATCGCTTTGCTGCCAGCGCGACATCATAATCCATTACCACCCATTTATCACCTGTGAGGCGCCGCCGGCTTCTAGCGGCATTCAGATGAGAGTGTGACAGCTCCCCTACGTCACCCTCGTCATCACGGCTGCATGGTAGTGCTTGCGCCATGGGTGCTGCGAGGAGCTCAAATTCCCGCAAGCAGTTTACCAGTACAAGCAGGCACAAGCTGTAGCTCGGTTTGAGCGCCCTCCACTCTACGATTCAGCTTAAGATGTTACCAAGAGAAAATCGGTGCGACGGCAATGTTTGGCCAGTCCCATCACCCCTCCAGCAGACACGGCAAGGTTCATACGCTGCCCAGCAGACACGACAAGGTTCATACGCTGCCCAGCAGACACTTCAAGGTTCAGACGCTGCCCAGCAGACACGACAAGGTTCATACGCTGTCCAGCAGACACGGCAAGGTTCATACGCTGTTCAGCAGACACGGCAAGGTTCAGATGCTGCCCCGCAGACACGGCAAACGTTCAGACGCTGCCCAGGAAACACGGCAAGGTTCAGGCGCTGGCCAGCAGACACGGGTAAGGTTCAGACGCTGTCCTGCAGACACGGCAAGGTTCAGCCGCTGCCCAGCACACATGACAAAGTTCAGACGCTGGCCAGTAGACACGGCAAGGTTCAGACGCTGGCCAGTAGACACGGCAAGGTTCAGACGCTGGCCAGTAGACACGGCAAGGTTCAGACGCTGGCCAGTAGACACGGCAAGGTTCAGACGCTGGCCAGTAGACACGGCAAGGTTCAGACGCTGGCCAGTAGACACGGCAAGGTTCAGACGCTGGCCAGTAGACACGGCAAGGTTCAGACGCTGGCCAGTAGACACGGCAAGGTTCAGACGCTGCCAACACCCCAGAGCAGAAGACCAGATAACTTATATATTGTATTTGCTACATGTGCGTTATACAAACTTAATTCTCAGTGTTTGACGTCTTCAAAAGCTCTCAAGACTTTCTCGTCATTTTCCAAAGCTTACACTTAATCCAGGTGACATCTCAGAAGCTTCTACTTAAACCTATTTACGTGTTCTAATATTGGCACTAGTTATCAGTTATCAGACTAGAAATAAAAATGAATTTTGGAGAATTGATCTTTGAATTACCATCAACAGTGAAAAGAAACATAAGAAAGATAGAGAAAATTCGTGTTAGAATTATTAATCTTACTTTTTCGGTCATATTTAATAATATATATATATATATATATATATATATATATATATATATATATATATATATATATATATATATATATATATATATATATATATATATATATATATATATATATATATATATATATATATATATATATATATATATATATATATATATATATATATATATATATATATATATATATGGTAAGCACAAGGCTTTCTCGGAAACAATGATCAAGTTCTTTGCGTCAGACCATTAGCTCTTGTTAGCATCTTGACGTGTGACCATGATTGGCGCTGTTTGGCACATGAAGACTAACAGTTATTGCTAATCACAGCCCATACTCTTGTTTGGGCTGTACTTATAGGAGGAGGAGGATCATAGTACATATAAACCGACGTACAACATAATTAGACTGACAGGCTCGCTATTGTCCGTGCTACATGGAAATTTTATTCCTAGAAGCTGAATCTGAGATTTTTTATTAAGACAACAACAACAGAAATTAGAAAGTAGAAATCTTGAATTTGGAAAACTCTTCTGGAAAACGATTTTCCACTTATGTTGCAAGGACAAAATAAATTAACCTAACCTAACCTACCTAGGCCTCCCGAGGCCTAATATAGTGCATATGTGTTATACAAGGCCTACAAATATTAAAGTTTGCTTTTTAGCTTCATTTTGTCGGACTTATAAAGTGAATAGTACAAAGTTCTACTATCTAATTGCTTGGTATGTCAATACTTGTAATATGGTGCACATAGTTATAAAAAAGTACTATCCAAACCGGAGGATGGTTCGCTAAGCACCATTTCCTGAGAAGTTGTACACCGGTTGTGATCACCACCAACACTAGGACCAGTGGTACATTATTATTATTGTCCATCATTAATATGAAGAGGAACTTCCTCAATTTTGTAAATAATCAACAGCCTCAAGAAGCTACCGTGGGTAAACTTCAGGCTGGAGCTACAGCAAGAAAACGTCAGGAAAACACACACCCGACTTGATAATGGTCCAGGACGGACCGAAATGTCGTAGTCTCCTTATATTCTTGTGTGTAGTTTGGTCATTAAACTACAGGTAGCTTTGTTTGCCCAGGTGCGAGGGACGACCGATTCCCCGCGTCCCTCACCTCTCAGTCACCTGTAACGACAGGCAAGTAACGTGAGTTTCTGTGAAAAGATGAAATAATATATAATCACAAAATGACCAGAGAGGGGCGTAGGAGTGTGGAAACGTTATTACCATAGGCCAGAGAGTGGTCGGGTTGATTGTAAAGCCCTGTTTGGGCTCCAGTTCGGGGCCTCCAGAACTGGGGGGGAGGGGAGCCGATGGTACTGGAGGTCCAGTACCATCGTGGCTGAGTCGGTTAGGGCATGTGTCTGGGATTCACCAGATTCACACATTTCAGTGCTATAAATTAATGCAAGACAAAAAAAAAATCAGCTGTGATTATTCTAGTAAGGCGGACGTCTGGATATGGTGCCAGCTGACCTTTCACTGTCTTTAGCATTGGTTTGATTAAATTATTAGCCATACATTCATTCTTATCAGCCCAAGCACAATACTAGCAAAATGTTATATGAATTGAACAGTATATTACTCATCTTTGATAATAGTTACTCATCTATTTAATAAATTACTCAGTAATTATGAGTAATCATTAGATGAGTAGTTACTAATTACTCAGTATAATTACTCATCTTATACAATGTAACTCCAGCAATGTAAGTGTTACTAATGTGACAACCAAAAGAACAGATGGTTCTTTCGTGATGGTTTTGCATTGATGGATCAGCCCGTCCTCCTAATGGAACGTCGCATTTTGAAGTATACATTAGTCAAAAATCGTCTTACTCGAAAATGATGTACAGATTGATTGATGTACAGTCCCGCTTCCTGTTGTGGGGTCCTCTGGTAGGTTAGGATAAGGACACTTTAGTACGACAGTTTCTTGATGTTGGAAAACCTTAGGGGGGACGGGCTGGCTAGATATAGGCCTTGAAAGTACAATTTTGACCTGGCCTGTGTTTGTGCATTAACGTTGCAGAATTTTATAATCAGTTTTCCAACAAGGGTCTGCGATAAACAGAATTTTATTTAGAGTAATATAGCCAAATTCTAATTAGTTAAAAAGAGTGCTTAGAACCATCTACCCTCAGCTAGACGTGTCCCAGAGTGTACACCAACCTATAACGAAAAACCCGCCCCACAAAATTAAAAAAGAGGAAAGTGATTACTTATCGATTTTTCCTGGACTTCATTCTGCAGTCATCAGCGAGCTTAACACTGTGTTAAATATCTATCTGTTATCGACGATTATTATTATCCAGTCATTTTATAAATACCGTATATTTTGTGTTGATGTTCATCTGATGTTGTTTACAATTCCAGCAACAAGTAAGTTTAATGCAGAAACGGGTAAGTGTAACTAATTGTAAGTTTACTTTCAAGTGATTGCATACCGGATCCTAGAGTGTGTGGTGTAAATACCTGCCCCTGTATATAAGTCCGGATAACTGGTGTTAAAATCTATCCATTAGAATGTGGACCTTCACCTAGGAGATCGCTGTGCTTCTTAAGACACTCTGAGGACGCCCAGAGACTTGCCACAATCAGGACTTCCGTTTCATTCATTCCAGATATAGAGAATAGAATATTCTGTGTCTCCAATGGCACAGAATATCTTTCCATGTATTCTGTGCCACTGGAGACAACTGACAGCACGAGAGCGCCAACACCATGCTAGTTCTGCCCGATTCGCACCTCACAAAAGCCTCAACAAAAGGCTATATGCACACCACCTTGGCGGAAAAGCCTCTGGGTTAACTGGAGTGGCGGGTTAGGTGATGTGTGCGTCTGTCCATTACGGAGATGAGAAATTGTGGAACGCTTATTGGAAGGCAGCCACCCCCCGTGGCTGCCTTTTATTACCACCCCTTTAACGCAGCAGCAGTTGCTCCTTTATGGCTCTTACTGGCAGGCTGCCGTCCTGAGTTGCCTTTCAATATCTCATACATGCAGCCACTCTCCATTCTAATGACGAAATGGTTAGATTAAGCTGGTGGGATGATTTAATTCATCCCACCAACTTGATTTAAAGGACACACATATGTCCTTAGATATTTGAAGTATTTAGAGAACACACATGACTTCTGAGGAAGCGATGGTGGTAGAAGGCAGCCTTTGAGGTATTAATGGGGTCAGCCAGCCTTCTTCCTTCCATCCTCTCTCTTCCAGCGTGTGATTGACCTCAATCTCAATATTTCAGTTTCTTCTCGTTGCTGTTGTAACTGAAGTTTGAGCCTCTTTCTCTCTTGATGATGGGCCTTGAGCAGAGGGGCAGCATAATACTGCATGTCTTTTCCTCGCTTAAGCTGCCTCTCGCTCTTCATGCTGAATCTGTGTCTCTCTCTAGTTCTCCGTGCTGAAGCTGTGTCTCTCGCTCTTCATGCTGAATCTGTGTCTCTCTAGTTCTTCATGCTGAAGCTGTGTCTCTTGCTCTTCATGCTGAAGTTGTGTCTCTTGATCTTGATGCTGAAGCTGTGTCTCTCTCTCTAGTTCTTCATGCTGAAGCTGTGTCTCTTGCTCTTCATGCTGAAGCTGTGTCTCTTGATCTTCATGCTGAAGCTGTGTCTCTCACTCTTCAGGCAGAAGCTGTGCCTCTCACTCTTCATGCTGAAGCTGTGGCTCCCACTCTTCACGCTGAAGCTGTGCCTCTCACTCTTCACGCTAAAGCTGTGGCTCTCACTCTTCATGCTGAAGCTGTGCCTCTCACTCTTCACGCTAAAGCTGTGGCTCTCACTCTTCATGCTGAAGCTGTGCCTCTCACTCTTTATGCTGAAGCTGTGCCTCTTACTCTTTATGCTGAAGCTGTGTCTCTCTCTCTAGTTTTTCATGCTGAAGCTGTGTCTCTTGCTCTTCATGCTGAAGCTGTGCCTCTTACTCTTTATGCTGAAGCTGTGCCTCTTACTCTTTATGCTGAAGCTGTGGCTCTCACTCTTCATGCTGAAGTTATGCCTCTCACTCTTCACGCTGAAGCTGTAGCTCTTACTCTTTATGCTGAATCTTTGCCTCTCGCTCTTTATGCTGAAGCTGTGGCTCTCACTCTTCACGCTGAAGCTGTGCCTCTAACTTTTCATGCTGAAGCTGTGCCTCTCACTTTTCACGCTGAGGCTGTGTCTCTCACTCTTCACGCTGAAGCTGTGCCTCTCGCTCTTCACGCAGAAGCTGTGCCTCTTGCTCTTCATGCTGAAGCTGTGACTCTCACTCTTCACGCTGAAGCTGTGGCTCTTGCTCTTCATGCTGAAGCTGTGCCTCTCACTCTTCACGCTGACCGAGTAGCGAGTAGTGGTTGGCAACACACGCGGTCATTGACGGGTAGACGTTGTGGGTAAACTTAAAGCTATACCAGTCAGGGAGTTTACAAAGTTGTTATAACTAACCTGTTTCAGGACGGTCTAAACCCAGCTCACGTTCCCTATTGGTGGGTACAAGCCGAGTTACGGTGAATCCGCGAATGGTGTATTAAATCAGCTATGTTTCATTGGATCTGTAAACCCACTTACTTGGATAAGTGTGGTAATTCTAGAGCTAACGGCCAATAAATCAACTTTTACTAATTACTAACTTACTATCCCCCCCCCCTTGTGTGTGTCTTGTAAATAGGTAGTAGTCCTTTTTTCAGGGACGCGAGTCTTATTTTCCTCGGCGTCACCCCTTTTATACAGGAACCATCGGACATGCATGGCCGTTCTTAGTTGGTGGAGCGACTTGTCTGGTTAAAAAATGTGTTTTTTACATAAAAAATATGGGCCATACCCAAAATGGTCCACTAGATACTCAGATTAGTCGGCGAAGCTTCAGCGTTCAGGCAAGCTCGGCATCTCACCCGTTTAAAGTTTGATCCGTCAGTGGTCTCACCCAGAGACCACTGACGGATCCTAGGTCACCTTGTGAGGCCGAAGCGCCGTTTTCGGCGCTCCACCTTATTTGATCCTTGATTATGATCATCGTCAGCGTCGCTCGGTACACGCGGGAGTCAATGACAAGACCCAACAGGTGGAGGCTACCGGGTTAATTTCCTACTAACAACTGTTGTAGTGATATATAACCGCACAAAACCAATATGGCAGCACCGCTATAATCTATACAATAATCACTGTTTTCACTTTCACTTTCCAGCTTTCACCATCACTGATGACAATGATATTTCTAGATCACAAATGTCAGACTGAACTCAGTCCTGGTCTTACTGAACACACCTCGTTGTGTGTTTAAGTCTGTTTAATATTATTATCTATATAACCTGAAACATTATTCTGGGAGTTCACATATAATGAATAAGCAGATGACAAGTTAACTCAACGGTGGAAAATATATTAGGATGATGATAATTGTTGGCAAAAAAAATCTATCTTCATCTGGCTGTTATGAGCTCCTTGGATAGACTGTGCAGGCCGGGTATGTTGAGGCCTCATGGCACCCATGGTTAGGACTACGAATCTGACCAATGGGAAGGCAAGAGAAATATTCGCTTAAATACCATAAGTCTATGCAAATCTGATGTGAGGTGTGACATTATGAAGACATCACTACTCGCAGCCTCGACTGTAGCAACTGACTTGAGGTTCGCTCCTTTATCTAACCCTCAACTTACGGTTGCACTTGCACAGGTGGCAGCTTTAATATGCAAGCAAATAGAAGCACTGGCAGCAGCACATGCAGGCAAGAAGACACAGGCAGCGACACATGTAGGCAAGAAGACACAGGCAGCGACACATGCAGGCAAGAAGACACAGGCAGCGACACATGCAGGCAAGAAGAGACACAGGCAGCAACACATGCAGGCAAGAAGAGACAAAGGCAGCAACACATGCAGGCAAGAAGAGACACAGGGAGCAGCACATGCAGGCAAGAAGACACAGGCAGCGACACATGCAGGCAAGAAGAGACACAGGCAGCGACACATGCAGGCAAGAAGAGACACAGGCAGCAACACATGCAGGCAAGAAGAGACACAGGCAGCGACACATGCAGGCAAGAAGAGACACAGGCAGCAACACATGCAGGCAAGAAGAGACACAGGCAGCGACACATGCTGGCAAGAAGAGACACAGGCAGCGACACATGCAGGCAAGAAGAGACACAGGCAGCAACACATGCAGGCAAGAAGAGACACAGGCAGCGACACATGTAGGCAAGAAGAGACACAGGCAGCAACACATGCAGGCAAGAAGACACAGGCAGCGACACATGCAGGCAAGAAGAGACACAGGCAGCAACACATGCAGGCAAGAAGACACAGGCAGCGACACATGCAGGCAAGAAGAGACACAGGCAGCGACACATGCGGGCAAGAAGAGACACAGGCAGCGACACATGCAGGCAAGAAGATACACAGGCAGCGACACATGCAGGCAAGAAGAGACACAGGCAGCAACACATGCAGGCAAGAAGAGACACAGGCAGCAACACATGCAGGCAAGAAGAGACACAGGGAGCAACACATGCAGGCAAGAAGAGACACAGGCAGCAACACATGCAGGCAAGAAGAGACAAAGGCAGCAACACATGCAGGCAAGAAGAGACACAGGCAGCGACACATGCAGGCAAGAAGAGACACAGGCAGCAACACATGCAGGCAAGAAGAGACACAGGCAGCGACACATGCAGGCAAGAAGAGACACAGGCAGCAACACATGCAGGCAAGAAGAGACACAGGCAGCGACACATGCTGGCAAGAAGAGACACAGGCAGCGACACATGCAGGCAAGAAGAGACACAGGCAGCGACACATGCAGGCAAGAAGAGACACAGGCAGCGACACATGCAGGCAAGAAGAGACACAGGCAGCAACACATGCAGGCAAGAAGAGACACAGGCAGCGACACATGCAGGCAAGAAGAGACACAGGCAGCGACACATGCAGGCAAGAAGAGACACAGGCAGCAACACATGCAGGCAAGAAGAGACACAGGCAGCGACACATGCAGGCAAGAAGAGACACAGGCAGCAACACATGCAGGCAAGAAGAGACACAGGCAGCGACACATGCAGGCAAGAAGAGACACAGGCAGCGACACATGCTGGCAAGAAGAGACACAGGCAGCAACACATGCAGGCAAGAAGAGACACAGGCAGCGACACATGCAGGCAAGAAGAGACACAGGCAGCAACACATGCAGGCAAGAAGAGACACAGGCAGCAACACATGCAGGCAAGAAGAGACACAGGCAGCGACACATGCAGGCAAGAAGAGACACAGGCAGCGACACATGCTGGCAAGAAGAGACACAGGCAGCGACACATGCAGGCAAGAAGAGACACAGGCAGCGACACATGCAGGCAAGAAGAGACACAGGCAGCAACACATGCAGGCAAGAGAGACACAGGCAGCGACACATGCAGGCAAGAAGAGACACAGGCAGCGACACATGCTGGCAAGAAGAGACACAGGCAGCGACACATGCTGGCAAGAAGAGACACAGGCAGCGACACATGCTGGCAAGAAGAGACACATGCAGCGACACATGCTTGCAAGAAGAGACACAGGCAGCGACACATGCGGGCAAGAAGATACACAGGCAGCAACACATGCAGGCAAGAAGAGACACAGGCATCAACACATGCTGGCAAGAAGAGACACAGGCAGCGACACATGCGGGCAAGAAGAGACACAGGCAGCGACACATGCTGGCAAGAAGAGACACAGGCAGCAACACATGCAGGCAAGAAGAGACACAGGAACACTAACATGGGGTGGGGGGGGTGAAGGGGGTACAGAGGAAGACTCATGAAAGAAGGGAAACCAAAAATTAATGATGAAATAATGTAAAAAGAAGTGAATAAGCTTAGTGGTTCGACCAATTATTTTTTTTTTATATTTGTGGTAATTTATTTTAAGGTTAAATTGTGGTCGTGATGTGGTAGTGTGTTGTTCCGGTCCTAAGTAACAAAGTATCCAGTACCACGGAACAACTTTGAGCTACTAGCTCAGAGCTACTACTCTACACAATAAAATACATAGCCACTTTTTCATTGTGTATTCAATCATTTTTTGGTTATTAATTAATTTTTCCGGAAGCCTATCAATGATGCAGACTATTCCTGATAAATGTAGACATAAAATTTATATATAAATGAACAGGGCCAAGTTAATATATGCAACACGGAGTCCGGCCAGATCACAGGATTGTCAACTGCACATTTGTGTTCACCGAGCTAATCTGTCCTCACACTTTATGAGGGATTAGCCGATCTCTCACGGTGTTCAAGCGAGATGAGCAGGCGATGAACACCTCCGAAGAACACGTGATGAATCATCCTGTGATTTATATGTCAGGATGCGAGCAGCGGCGTGTAACAGCCTGGTTGACCGTACCACCAGGGAAGGTAGCCCCAGGGTAAAGTGACCGCAAACTTGACGATATTACTTACTGCGTAAGCAATTTGGCGCTATAACATGAGAGGCACTGCGGTGTTAATGCTTTCTTCAGACAAATGTATGTATGTGTGTGTGTGTGTATTCACCTAGTTGTGCTTGCAGGAATTGAGCTCTATTCTTTCGGCCCGCCTCTCAACTGTCACTCAACTGTTTCTAACGACTACTACTACTACTTTTTCCCCCACACTACACACACACACCCAGGAAGCAGCCCGTGTCAGCTGACTAATTCCCAGGTACCTATTTACTGCTAGGTAACAGGGGCATTGGGTGAATGAAACTCTGTCCATTGTTTCTCGCCGGCGCCCGGGATCGAACCAGGGGACCACAGGATCACGTGTACAGCATGCTGTCCGCTCGGCCACCGGCCCTTGTGTGTGTGTGTGTGTGTGTGTGTACTCACCTATTTGTGCTTGTGGGGGTTGAGCTTTGGCTCTTTTGTCCCACCTCTCAACTGTCAATCACAATTTCGTGAGCCTACTGAGCTCTATCATATCGACATTTAAAACTGTGTATGGAGTCAGCCTCCACCACATCACTGCCTAATGTATTCCATCCGTTAACTACTCTGACACTAAAAAAGTTCCTTCTAACGTCCCTGTCGCTCATGTGGGTACTCAGTTTCCACCTGTGTCCCCTTGTTCGCGTCCCACCAGAGTTGGATAGTTTATCCTTGTTTACCCGGTCGATTTCCCTGTGGATTTTGTAGGTTTTGATCTTGTCTCCCCTTACTCTTCTGTCTTTCTGTGTCGTTAGGTGCATTTCCCGTAGCCTTTCCTCGTAACTCATGCTTCTTACTTCTGGGACTATTCTAGTGGCATACCTTTGGACTTTTTCCAGCTTCGTCATGTGCTTGAAAAGGTACGGGCTCTATGCTGGGGCCGCATACTCCAGGATTGGTCTTACATATGTGGTGTACAAGATTCTGAATGATTTCTTGCACAGGTTCCTGAATGCTGTTCTGATGTTAGCCAGCCTCGCATATGCCGCAGACGTTATTCTCTTTATGTGTGGGCTTCAGGAGACAGGTTTGGTGTGATATCAACTCCTAGATCTTTCTCTCTGTCTGTTTCATTAAGTACTTCATCTCCTATTCTGTATCCTGTGTCTGGCCTCCTGTTTCCACTGCCTAGTTTTATTACTTTGCATTTACTCAGGTTGAACTTCAACAGCCATTTGTTGGACCATTCACTCAGTCTGTTTAGGTCATCTTGTAGCCTCCTACTATCATCCTCAATTTCAATCCTCCTCATAATTTTTGCATCATCGGCAAACATTGAGAGAAACGATTCTATACCCTCTGGGAGATCATTTACATATATCAGAAACAGTATAGGTCCAAGGGCTGACCCCTGCGGGACTCCACTCGTAACGTCTCGCCAATCTGCGACCTCACCCCTCACACTGACTCGTTGTCTCCTGTTGCTTAGGTACTCCTTTATCCAATAGAATACCTAAGCTTTCTTCGCACAATCTTCTCCATCAGCTTGCATGGTATGCAGATTAGGGACACTGGCCTTTAATTCAGTGCCTCCTGTCTATCCCCTTTCTTGTATATCGGGACTACGTTAGCTGCTTTCCAAATTTCTTGCAGTTTCCCTGTTGCCAGTGATTTGTTATACACTATGGAGAGTGGTAGGCACAGTTCTCTTGCTCCTTCCTTTAGTATCCAAGGGAAGATTCCATCTGGGCCTATAGCCTTTGTCATATCCAACTCTAGTAAACACTACCTTACTTCCCCGCTGGTAATCTCAAACTCTTCCAGTGGTTCCTGGTTAGTTATTCCCTCTCTTATCTCTGGAATTTCTCCTTGCTCTAAGGTGAAGAACTCCTGGAATTTCTTATTCAGTTCCTCACACACTTCCTTGTCGTTTGTAGTGAATCCTTCTGCCCCAATCCTTAATTACATAACCTGTTCCTTTATTGTGTTTTTCTCCTTGTGTGGTTATGTAGCAATTTAGGCTGAGTCTTTGCCTTGCTTGCGATGTCATTTTCGCATTGTATTTCAGCCTTTCTTCTCATCCTGACATATTCATTTCAGGCATTCTGGTATCTTTTTCTGCTCTCCAGTGTCCTGTTATTCCAATAGTTTCTCCATGCCCTTTTACTTTGCTGCTTAGCTAGCCAACATCTCTGATTAAACCATGGGTTTCTCATCTTCATTTCACTGTTTTCCTTTTGGACCGGGGCAAACTTGTTTGCTGCGTCCTTGCACTTCTGCGTGATGTAGTTCATCATATCTTGGAACGTCTTTCCCCTGAGCTCTGCTTCCCATGCTATTTCTGTTAGGAATTTTCTTATCTCCTTTCCTCATAGTTTCCCTTTCGGTATGATAACCTTTTGGTTTCGGTATCCTTCCTCGAGTTCAATAACCCTTCTTCAATCAGATATTCAAACACCAGTACACTGTGGTTGCTCATTCCTACTGGAGCCTCAAAACCGATTTCTCTTATGTCGGAGTCATTCAGAGTGAAGACCAGGTCGAGCCTCGCCGGTTCGTCATTTCCTCTCATCCTTGTGGGTTCTCTGACATGCTGAGTTAAAAAGTTTCTAGTCACCACATCCAGCAGTTTGGCTCTCCACGTTTCCTTGCCTTCATGCGGTTCCTGGTTCTCCCAGTCAATCCTTCCGTGATTGAAGTCCCCCATGATGAGCAGGTGGGATCTATTTCTACTGGCAGCAGAGGCTGCCTTCTCAATTATAGTGTTAACTGCCATGTTGTTGTTTTCGTACTCTTGACTGGGTCTTCTGTCATTTGGTGGAGGGTTGTATATTACTGCTACTACTATTCTTGGTCCTCCCATTGCCATGGTGCCTACTATGTAGTCTGTGTGTGTGTGTGTGTGTGAGAGAGAGAGAAGAGAGAGAGAGAGAGAGAGAGAGAGAGAGAGAGAGAGAGAGAGAGAGAGAGAGAGAGAGAGAGAGAGAGAGAGAGAGAGAGAGAGAGAGAGACTGACAGACAGAAATGTACTAGATAGTATATAACAGTTCAAGAGTCAATACATCAGACAACCGACGGACAGCACAATCCGTCCTTAAATATCGTCGCTTTTTGCTCGTATGCGCACTATGGCCTAAAATGGACATAATTTGAAATGAAATCGACTCACAAAAGTTACATATTGTCCCGTTTTCTGAAGGTGTCCTCTGGTTTACTCGGTAAGGATAGAAGAGGAAACATTCAATTAACGCCCCCCTCCCCACTCAGCTCGTTGTTGCCGTGAGGGGGGCTTAGTGGGCGGCTGCCGGAGTGTGATGCTCCTTGGGACAGTCCTCTGTCCTTTTCTAGCCTTGTCCTCCTGCTGCCGTCCTCTCCAATTATGCTGAGCACCTTTTCCTTTTCCTTCTGTTTCGTTTTTCTCCCCCCTCTTCTCCTATCTGCTTGCAGTTTCCTGCCGACCTTTTGCTTGTTTTGGTACTTCCTTTGGCCTTCTTCTGTTTTGACGCCCGGGTGCTTGAAGAAGCATACTCTTGCACCCGTAGAACTGTAGTACCCAACGTCAAGAGCGAGGGGAACCTTTTATTGTCAGTCCCCCTTTCGTCACTGAACCTGATCTCGACGGACTGTCGGTTCTTAAGGTGGCGTTTGTGGGGGGTATACTCACGACGCACCCCTAGGAGGCCCCGGCATGATCGGCGATAGCTTCTTGTTGGGTGTCCTGCCTCTAATTGTGGGTCCATGGTGGGTGTGGGGGCACATTCGTGAATGAATATTTTTTCTCGTAGCGATGATGTTTACTGGTTCTACTGTTTCTCCTTATCTTCTCAGGCTCGTGGGGTGGGCGACCAAGCCCCCGAGTCGGTCCGTGTTGGAAGACCGGGCTCTGTATCCTCCGCTGCATTGGGCCCTGACCTTGCTCCTCCTTTGGCCTCTCTGACTCCTCCCCTCGGTTCCCCTCCCTCCTCTGTGGTTGGGTCGAGCCCCAAGCCCCCAGTGGTGACTACCTCGTCCCCTGGCACGGCTCCATCTCTAGTTGTAACTACTGCGCCTTTTAACCCCTCTCTCTCTGGAGGTTATCAACGCCGTCCTCGTCATGGCCGCCCTCGCTCGATTCCTTCCTGTTCTGATACCTATCAAGCCTTGTTTGGTTCCGCTTCATGGGCCAAATATTTTGATCTCCTTCCTCTTAATTCTGCACCTCCTGACGATTTCTCCCTCCATTGATATCTCGGTGATTCCCTGGATGCCTCCATTACTTTCAGCCCCACTCGTCTCGGTACACGTGTCGTTGCTGCTCCTTCTCAGGATGCTGCTTCCACTTGGCTGCCTTATCCTGCCTTGGCGAGACCCCTGTTCGGGTCTCAAAGA